GTAATCCCTTAAATCTGTCCAGGAAGTTGAAGATATATCGTTATAGCAAATGCGGAAGTTATAAAATCGCCATTTTTTTTAAAGAAAAAAAAAAGGTTAAACAAAAGGAGTCTTTTATAAAATTGAAGCTGGTATTTTAAATAGAGAAAAAAAGAAAAATTCACAGGTATGGTCACTGCCCGGATTAATCTTAAATGGGTTAATTACAAAGGCTTGTTCTGGGGGGGGAAGTAACTCGCCTAGAGCTGAAAAAAAAAACAGCTGAGAAGATCTGGCCGGAGTAAATGACTCAGCTTTCGTTGATTCACTCTCTTTCATTCGCAGCCAAAAAGAAAAAAAGGCTGCAAACTCCAAAGAGGATTCTAACTGGCTGAGAGTCCCTCCCTACTTTTTCCTTACTGGAAAAAGAGATATCTAAGATCTTAAATAGATATACGAACCAGGATTCTGAGGGCAGCTTCATTAAGCTGCCGACAGCGGCAATCACCTCCCCCGGAAGTCCCCTGCTCCTCTCTTCTTATTGCTGCTGAATCTGGGCTCTGTTTCAGCCTGACTCCTTAGAGCCTTAATTTTCTAGCTCAAGTTTCTATATATAAATCTTTTACCATTTTTAGATGTTGTTTCCTTCTCTGATGTTGTCGTGTTATATTCCCTTCCTTATTCACGGTCGTCACAGCTCTAAATCAGCCATAGGCTCCAATTTCTTTTCTGTTAGTTTCAAGGGGTTTCTCTCATTCGTTCGGAAGATTGCCTATCTCCACAGCATTCCCTGAGCTTCCAGGATTGACATCACCCTTTTCAGGATCTCCAACACAAAAACTCGAGCAAAGTGAATGGAGCTGCCATTCCTTCACTCTCTCTGCTATGATGTCACTACCAAAAGTTTGGAGTTTAATCTAAGACCACTGACTCAACCACTCCCTCCTCCAGTGGTGTTACATGGAGAAACTCACTATGAGGTGAAATTTTTTTAGTCTAGATTGTATAGAGATCATTTGCAGTATTTAGTGCATTGGAAGGGGTACCTGGGTGAAAAGTTGGGATGTGAAAGCTGACAAGTTAGTAAAACAATACCATGATAAATTTCCTGATAAGCCAAAGGGCACTATGGGGGGGGGGGGAGAGGAGGTTAGTTATTCTTATGTTAACCCACTATATTATTCTCCTTACAGGATATGCTTTTCTTCTGAGGGGAGGCCACCTGTCAGGCCTGCAACTATCTTTTCTTTTGGATCTTTGACCTGCCACACTATCTATGCATTTTCTATTGTGGGAAAATGTGAGGGGGTTTGTATGGAGTTAAATGCTATGTAGCCATAACAAAAAACTTTTTTTGAAAGCCAAGGTCATCCTTTGTCTTTGCACCTCTGCACCTGACCGGAACTGGATGGGTGGAACTGCCAGCATAGCAGTGAAAGATCAGACCATGTGATGGACTTTTGGGTGTGGGGGCAAGATCTTGAACTTTCAACTGGGTGGGGAAAACCGAGCAATACTTTGTCTTGGACTCTGATTTAATTTTAGATGCTATTTGGAACTCTGACACAGTGAGAACAATCAACCAATAGAACAGCTTGCATTAGGAAGTTGTGGGAGCTTCATCACTGGGGGATTTCAAGATGAGACTGGACTGCTATCTGTCAGAAATGGTGTAGGGTCTCCTGCTTGGATGGTGTGTGTGTTAGTTTAAATGATCTACAAGGTCCCTTCCAAGTCTGTTATTTATTTATTTTTATCTGAAATCTGTACAATCACTTCTCCAATATTTTCAGCTTTCAGGATTTTTCATCAATTATTTAAATCCCAGGAGAAGACTTGCAAATTCTTGGAGTTTTTTCAGAAGTGATGTTATTGTCATCACTAAAAGTTTCCTATCCTGAAGACAATGGGGGAGATTATGTCTGTCTGCCTATCTGTCTGTCCGTCTGTCTATCTGTAGCTGATAAAGCCTGTCCTTTCCTCATTGAGAAAAATGTAGTGGTTTTGTTGGCACAATACACTTTTCCATTATTAATTCAACCACAGCTACTTACACCATTCAATTATCTGAATTCATATCTACCTAATAAACCCTTAAATTGAATTCAGCCCGAATATAACATTTAAATGTGGCTTATGGTGTCACACAAACACACCTATAGCAGTAATCTCAATTTTACTAACATGATAAAGTGACAGATATTGAGAGTCTTTCCACAACTTATTGCATCACTGCCACCATGGCAAAAAAAAATGTTTGAGGTCCTTGGTCCTATTCTGGCACAGCAACAGCCAGATGATGCTATAAATGGCTACTTTAAAAATTCTCAATTACTGACCAGGATTTGAAATAAACTCTCCTGATTTGTCGCCTGCTGCTAACCATTGTAGCAATCTGGCATAAAAGGACGTTCAGGGCTACATCTTTTTCTTCCTGGAAAAAATAGAGAACATCTATCTATTCCCTCACTGGTAGTGTGATCCAGAAACAGAAATATCTGGATTTTAGACAAATTCTTTGAGGCTTTACTACAGTTCCCCGAGCTTCGTCAGATTGCACTCTTCTTCACTATTAAAAACACATGTTTCGCTCCAAGGCGCCGAAAAGCGTTGCCTCCCGACTTTAGCCTCTGCATGTGTTATGCCCACGCTTTCTGCTCAGCTCGCTTTCAGGGCTGGGCTGGGGAGTGGGTGTATCGGTTTCTCCGTATTACACCTATCCGGCTGGGAAGAAAAAGGGAGGGACGAAAGGAGCGAACATGAGCGAACATATGAATCGACTGTCCCTGATTAATTTGATGCCGGCGAACAAACCATAACTTGTAAGCAGGAGCGCTGGGAATGGGAGGAGGAGGCATAAAACACGAAGGAAATAGAGAAAGGATGTAGGGTTTATTAGTTTTTAAGTAGAAAATCCACGCCTGCATCTTGGAGTCCAGTGGAGTCCGAGGAAACACGCTAGTTCCGGATGAATGGCGAAGGGAAAACGCGTGAACTAAAGGGAGAGCTTTTTGACAGCCAGTCACAGCCGCGATCTTTCCTGCCAAAGGCGAAATGATTCCTCATGTTAACAAGACTGAAGTCAGCCTTGAGAGGGTGGAGAACGAGAACGACATTCAGCCCCCTTCTCCTGCCTCTACCACCAGCCAGGAATCAAAGGTATCTCTAGCATCGGGGAGGGGGGTGTATCATAAATCCATAAGATACATTTGCACGCAAACATTCACTGTTTGCGTGCAAGTGTATGTTTATTAGAGCTACTTATATTCAAATGCATTTCAACTCACATACAGATGTTTATCTCCAACGCCATACGCAATTGTTCATCTTTTCCTATTGGAATCTTATGTGGAAAAGGAATTCTTGGATATAGCTTTGGGGGGGGGGTGTTGCATGATTCGTTTGGGTTTTTGGATTGTTATGAAAGTGTATCTGTTTCAAAGAATTCTTTAGTGGGAAAGTTTTCAAGTATTTATTCCTGGAGGAATGGGAGGCATTCATTTTTTTTTAAAAAAAACCATTACTATATCTTGGGCTTCAATAACTTGAGGCTCATAAATTACTCACTATTGTATTGAATAGACACTGCAATTTATTTATTATAGAAAAGTTGGTTACTGTTTTAAATGCTTTCCAGGAAGTTTTCAGCTTAACCAGTAAGCAGATCAGTAGTTAAAGGCAAGCCAATTGCAAATACAGCTCCCAAAGCTTCCAGTTAGTATTGTCAACTTCAGGAATTCAACCTATCTGAAGAGGCACTGAGGCTTCAATAAAATACCATTACTTGGTATTTTAGAGAGAGGACAGACACTGCTGTAATTTCCCTTTCCCATTTGATCAATATAATTCCAGCAGACTTGTCAAAGATAGAAACCAACCAATAAGATAGTGCTCTGAATCATATCATATAATCAATGAAACTGCTCCATGCTGTAATGAAAAGTTAAATGAAAGAACAACTGTGTGGCCTTTTATCTATTTGTGTTGTGGGATACAGGGAAGACTACAGTGAGTGATATATACATTACTTTGGCCTATGGGAGAGATAATTGAGGCCTCTTAAATTTATAACAAGATTGCCATCTAATCACAGAAAATATCAATTGTTTTAGAAGTTCTGAGTGAGTTTGCTGCTATTTGAAGTATTTCTTTTTGATAAAGATGGATATAAATACTTTGTGGGAAAGTACTTTTGACAATTTGGAAATATTCTGTTAAATTTTCACACGTAAAAATGGGCATATTTCAAACTATGAAGTATGAAATGATAACATTTAAATTCCAATTCTCAAATTTTGGAGCACTCTTCAATGCTGGCAGTTTTCTGTTACACATTATTCAGTTAACTAAATTCAAATGTTGGTATAAATAGTCAAATTAGGCTAGTTTAAAAATGATACAGAACTTTTAGTATATTTTTCAAATGCAGAGTATAAGTGTACAGCTTTCTTTCTATCCTTACACATTATATCCTACATGATAGAATAGAATACAATAGAATTCTTTATTGGACACACAAGGAATTTGTCTTTGGTGTATATGCTCTCAGTGTACATAAGGAGAATAAAATACATTCATCAAAAATAAAAAGATACAACACTTAGTGATAGAAGGTTACTAATAAACTATCATATTGTATTAGGAAACAAAAACAATATAAATTGAAAGATACAAGCAACATGGTTATAGAAATAAGTTGGAAGAGTTAGATACTAGTAAGGAAGAGAAGAATAATAGAAATACAGTCAGTAAATTATTTGACAGTGTCTGATTAGTTGTTAAGCAGAGTGATGGCATTCAGGGAAAAACTGTCCTTGTGTCATTCTGGTGCAGTGCCATATAGAGTCATTTTGAGGGTAGAAATTGAAACAAGGGAATTCTTCTTCTGAAAAATTAATAGTCTAAACTTTGTTTTGGTTTTTCTTGGTTTTTCAGAAACAATTTATAAGTTCAAAATTTAGTGCACATACATTACACATTTTCTAAAAAATAAAAAGAAAGGTTGCCCCCAAATTGGAAGCTGTAAGTCAAAAAGGTTAAAGGAATTAGAAAAAAGAATGGGAAAGTATCTTTTTTATATCTTGAGCTTCTATGAGTGCCAAACTACGCTATGAGACTTGTGGTTTGGCCAGAAACTTGAATAAAAAGTCAGAAAGCAATTTACAGAAAATTTCCCAGTGCTGTACTGTGTAAACATAAGTCAAGGGTGGCTATTTCTGCAGTTTACTCTGAAGACCCCTGTAACTATTTCTGTAGCTGCTTTTCTATCCTTGCCTTAAATCAAAGTCAGATGTGTAGTCATCAAAGCACTGTTTTACTGATACAAGCTACAGTTCTATTTTTATAACTCTTTCTATCTTATAGCCTTTAAAAAAAAGAAAAAAGAAAACGCTGAGAGTGTTTTCTAAACAAACTGGGTTCTTTGCCCTTTTCAAAACCATATTCTATGAAATCAGTGAGGCTTATTTTAAATTAAGTAGGGTTTGAAGTGCAGAAATTTGAGCCTTGTTTCTGTTTCATTGGAAATTGGGTTCAAAATATGGTTTAATAGGTAGTTGCAATCAGACATGCTGCTGTCCCATTTAGACCCTATTACTTCTGAATAATTTGGCAAATATATGTTGCTGAATCCAATGTTCTATGAAGTTCCTAGACATTTACAATTGGAGATAAAAGAAAACAAGGACAAATGTAAATTCCTTAATTCAAAACAGAATGTTTGACAAGTTTATGAACTAAGTTAGACAAACCATCACACACAGATCCTTTTGCAATGACTGAAATCCTAAACATTGATTTGAAAAGTTTATTGGAATCAAAGCATGCTATTTCAAATAAGAAATATTACAAGAAAGTACAGTTTATTAGAGGGTGTTCTCTTTTCTCATGAAAAAGCAAATCAACTGATTTCAGTACTTATTTGGCCCATCTTTTACAGCAGACAATTCTTCCTAGTAAATAATCATTTGTTTAAAGAATTCCTTGCTTTTATATCTTGTTATATTTCACAAATGTGCTTCCTATTTCCATTTGATCTTCACTACCTTCTGTGAGGTGTGTTGGGCTGAAAGGAGTGATGGTTCAGTGATTTCATGACCAAGTAGGGACATGTTCCTGGTCTTAAATTTTCATGCTTTCTAAAAGATGGGAGCGATAGGTGGTTTGGAGGCACCACATGTGTCCCTCCAGCACAGTTTCTACCTGTGTCTCCTCAGATTGTTCTGCTGAAATTAAGTTGCAAAACAATGGTAGCTGGATGGTTTTCTTATTTACATTGGAAGTCAATTGGACTACATGGATTACGCCTTTACTAAGTTTAACAAACTCTTATTTATTTTATTTGTTTAAGAGGCAAAAAACATGGTTTAGGAAATATCTGCCGCATCCAACTAGAGAGCCAGTTGGGACATCAATATGTTAAAGCTTTTCATGCTTGAACCACTTCTGGCTCTTGATGGATGGTTTAAACTTCTAGCATGTAAAAACCTTGTTATTGAGAAACCTAGATTCATCTGTTCCTCTCTGACCTTATAATTTAATCTCTGCCATCATAGATTTATTCAGCCATTAATCAGACTGAACTGTTTACCAAGTGCTGATAGTTATATGAATCAAGGAAGATAAACTCCTGAATTACTTCAACATATCTGACACTCTTTCCAGCATTCTGATTATATTTTCATTTACAGTTTGCACTAATCAGTAGATTTGTTACACAGCTGAACATAAACTCAAAGTATTGTAATTTTATATCATCTTACTAGAAGAGATGATCTTGGTACATAAATCTGAGATGATGTCAGAACAAATTACAAGATGGAATGTGTCTGTTTTTTATATGTCATTTTAGCTGCAAATTGGGAAAAGATGATAGAAACTAACTTATATATTTGGATATCATGTATGCTTTCTTAAATGCATTTGTATGTCACACTTCTAATCCTTTTGTGAAAAATAATTCAGTGGATAACTCAGCTTTCCATGCTCTACAACAATGGTTGGGAATCCTCTAATCCAGTCACCTTTTCGTTGTCACGTGCCAAAAGCTCATACATGCAATGCAATAATGTAATATGCATTTGACCCCCCATGCATCCCACCCCCAGGCATATATGTGCAACTCCCCATGTGCACCCCCTCCCATGCATATATGCATGTCCCCTCCCTCTGCCACCAAGGATGAGCATATGACACCCCCCCACATGTCTGTATGAAATACCCATTCCTACACATGTGCACATTTCTCCCGCATGTGCCCCGCATGTGTGGCAGACACCGGAAAACCAGCTGGCTGGTAGGAAGTGCTTGCGCATGTGCAGTAGAGCTGAACTGGGCCAATAGCTCAGATGTTGAAAGAGATGAAAGAAAGAAAGAAAAAGGGAAAGAGAGAGACAGAAGGAAGGAAAGAAAGAAAACTTATGACCACAATTGAGCCCAAAGCAAGAGCATTGTTAAGTGAGTTTCACCACATTTTCCAAGTTGGCCATGCTCACCTGGTCACATGACTGCTGAGCCACCCGCACAAAACAGGCCACACCTACAGAATAGGT